TGTTGATTCGTTCAAGAACGACTTATTAATATCCATAAAAAGTATCGCATTCTTCGAATACTAATATTAGAAGAATTTTCTTACATAAAGTCGATAAAGTTGTCTGTTAAAACTTATGGAGATTCATGAAAGGTCGTTTTCAACTTGTCTTATTTTAACATTTCCTATCTATACAGTTGCCATTTCATTACCTTTTAAAACCTTTTTCTATCGAATCACCCTTCTCACATAAAATCTTTCGAAACTAAGAAAATAACTGCCTTTTTCAGTTTACTACGGAAAAAATCTTTTAAAATCATCTATCACATTTAGAACGAACATAGACGAAAAGTAATTGGCATCATAACCGCCTATCTTACAACGTGATAACTGACAGTTCCTTATTTCCATTAGAGAGAAATACGATTAACTAAATAAAATGAGTAAAAATTTTTTAAGATATATAATAATATTCAAAATATTTTAGAAAACCCTAATATAATTGTTACTCAATACTTGATGTTATATGATTGTATACACGCGCCCGTCCGTGCGTGCATGTGCGTGGGTAGGTAGGTATGTATGTATAATAATGTGATTTGTAATGTATGAATTTCGATTTATTATTATAATATAAAATATTTAAACAGCATATACAATGACTTCAATTATACGGCAAAATAAAAATAATAAAATTAATCTATAAAGTAAAAACAAAGTTTAGATTTAATTACTAATTATACAAATTAGTATAATATTGTTTAATAAACTAACATGAAAAAAAATTAATATTACTTTTATATTTTATATTATAAATGAATTATCAACCTTTAACTTAAAGAAAGTCAAAATTAGCCGTGAACATAAACGTGAACATATCACGTTTAATTATGATTTATTAGATCAAAATTAGGATTATTGAAATTAAATTTTTTAACAATAAGAAGATGTTTAAGTTATGTATAACAATTTTTCAAATTTAATTGATGACAATACTATGTAGGCATATAATACCTATTTCATACATAAGATTAGTATGCAAACTTACTTGATTTCGAAAAATATTTAAAATGAATATATAAATTAATTTATTAATAATAAGTTGACTTTACATAAAAAAATTAAATTCATATTGAATTATATATATATATATATACTTAATTATAAAATATTTTTTATTATAATACGTAAAGTCACTCCTACAGTTCGTTATATTGTATATAAAATAATATGAATAAATATATAGACAAATATAGACAAAAATTTTCGAGTGATAGAATAGATAAATTTAGATAAAAATTTAAATTGATTTTTCTTATTAAAAATAATAATAAAGAAATGAGCCTGTATGTCTAATAGAAAAATTCTTTAAATAGAATCATATTTCTGCAAAGATAAATAGAAATATTTGCACCTCTATATTTTATTTTTACATATTTATAATAATAATTTCTAATTAATACTATATTAAATATACGAACTTTCAGATTATTATAAAACATATCTAAGAGCAGCAGTAATTTGAACATTTTTGTACTGAAATGTTTTCAATTTAATATTTTCTTATTATTTTATTATTTGTGTAATAATAAGAATGATACATTTTATATTAAAAATTTGTATATAATATGATTTGATATATTTTTATTAGATTTTTTAGATTTAGTTTATTAGATTTATTAGATTTTTATTAGAAAATTTATTTAAATTATATTTAATTATATTATATTATAAATTTTACAATTATAAAACGATTACTGTTACTCCATAAAGTCCAATGAATTATAAAAACTCATTGGAAAAATTTTATTTTTAACAGAATGATCAATCTATTTAGAAATATACATATTTGCAGTATAACTACTAAACTGATTAATAAGTCAGCACCTCGACCTTACCGTATACATTACAAAATAACTCCTTTACGAATGTATTGCCTTCTGTCTAACTTATTTCTTAAAACACTTACAATGTATCACATAACATGTAGTCATTTGATAAATCAATTTTTGTATAACTCAGTTTTACGTCACATTTAATCCCACATAAATAAGCTACACTTTTTTTATTCATTTTAAAACTGTGTTAATATTAACATTCAACTCATAACAATACAATATAGAAAACTATATAAAATTATGTGTTCAATAATAAATTATTAAATTTATTATTAAGCTTTGTAGTAACAAATGCAAGCTAACTTAAAAAAGGTATTTTTAATAATTTCACGTATATTCATAATTTAATAAACTAAAGAATCGCTATATATTATATTAAATATATTAATTTAAAACTTCATTTATTAAGTTACAATTTTCAAATTGATATAAAACTTCTAAAATTAAAGAATAAAATATTATACGTATATTTTATTTAAATACATAAGAGATTCAAATAGACAAACTATAGCTTTTTATAGTATTATATATGCGTACAAAAATGTATAATATATTTTTAATAAATATGATTTTTGTAAGATTTTATCTTAAAATTTAAAAATATTAATACTTATATAATAAATGTTTCACTAGTTATTTTTAATCTACTGTAAAAGTATATATATAAATGGAAATATTGGTTTTTGTCTCTTTGATTCTTATCGGAATTCTCCATTCTTTACAGCCAGTGTAAAATTACAGTACGTTCCATTGAAAGCTAAAAAAATCCGATGATTTCAACTTTTATTTTTCATTTTATTTAAATTGTCTTTTATGCTTAAGCTATTGAAAGAGTCATTATAGTTTTGGTGTTTAAAATAAGAGATAGGTTAAGGTCATGCACAAACATACCAAATAAAATTATGAAAGAATGAACTTTATTTTTTTTTTTTCGTGCTAACTCAGTTTTATGTAATGATAGTATGTAAACGTATTTTATATAGAAATTGAAATAACTTCGAACTTAAATTTCGTTACTAAAAGTACGTACCTTATAAACTCACTTTACATGAACTTAAATTTTGTATTTAATATAACTCAAATATTTATTGTAAAATTAAATTTTCTTAAATGACCTTTCTAAATTGTAATCTATTTTCTAAATTGTAATCTAAATTTTTATGCTTGCATTTTCTATTGCCATATTGATTGAATCTTTATATGTAATCTATTTAATTTCTTTCATACGTCAGATATAACTTTATATATAAATTTTAATTTTTCATATTCAACTGAGTTTTATCTAGTCTATTTAAATTAATAGCTTTAACACATAAAATTTGAATAGTATTTAAGATTAAAGAATATCTACGCATACTTAGAATGTCAAATTTTACATTCAACGAAGTATAGCGATTATTAATTAAGAGAGAACTATTGAAGTTTTTATAGTAATGACTTAATTCTTTAATGAAGTTTCATTTGATTTTCCTGAATTTAATTTCAACATATTTTCGTTTGTCTTGAAACAATATTGTAAATATTTTCTGTTCATAAAGATTGGTATGTATTATTTTGATTAAATATGATAAGAATTAGTAGTATAATTATCAAGCACTTTGATTATACTATATTTTCTAAAAATAAAATGTATAATACTACAAAGATTGCGACACTCATTGATGCAAATTACGATATCAGAATAAATTGAAAACATTTACAGATATAGACCGCAAAGTTTCAATGACCTAAAGCGTACTCAGTAGATAACAAAATTGCGACGAAGTAGAAATGTTCATAGCTTTGCTCATAAAAATTTAGGAACTAGTTAGCAAAGGGTCCTATATCAGATGATAGTTATAAATAAATTCATTTATAGATAATCGCTCACCCCCCTCATCATATATCCTTCCATCAGTGTATACTTCCCTCTCCTTTATATTGTGTGACATTCATAACTTATTAATGTAAATATTTATATGTTATTTCCGACTAACTATTAGCCAAACATTTTTCAAATATTCGCGAAAATAACAATATTGAATAAAAATGTATTAAATTACTGTAAGTATTCTGTCGAAAGGTACAGATCGAACCCACATTAATACTCATTCGATATAATCGTACATAAATTCTTTTATCTTAATACAACGCTTAAATGTGGGGTATAAATTTTTTCTATATATATATTCTATATATATATTTCTATATAATATATATATATATATATATATATATATATTAATATAATATATTAATCTATAACTAGCTAGAATTAATTTGCAAACACCATAATAATAATTTTTATTCTCTATCACTTCATTTTCCTTATGTAATTAAGTATAATATATAATATAATAAGTTTAATTATAAATAATTGATTACTTATAATGAAATATAATAATATTTGAATTTTATATTCAATAAAAAATTAATTGCCCCAGCCTTGCAGCAAAAATTACAGCCTTTCATTGTCATTACGCATGTTTTTCTTAATAAACTATCGATACGCCTCTGGGTATATACCATATCATAATTATAAAGCAAAAAACACGCCATGTTATTTTACATAACAGATTTGTAATAAACGTAATAAAACTAATATTAATATATTTATAAATCATATATTTATATTTAATTAATTAAGTACAAGTAATTATGTAAAACTATATTGATAAATATATTTCTTTCGTACAAATAACAAGTTTATATCTAATTTTATAAAAATGGCTTTTGAATAAAAAGATAATACTGTAATATATTGACGAATTTATAGTTTGATTGAATTCTTTTTCCATTTTTCGTTAAACTAGAGTAAATGTTTTTAGACGTGTAAATATTTATTCGCCATGTTATTTACAGAAAAATCAACTTTTTTACAATGTCTTGTAACTGAATATGATTCTGTTTTTAAGAAGTAAGCTACTTTTTCTAAATGTTAAATTAAAATTAATAGGAAAATCCTGTGTTAAGACAATGCATAAAAATATAAAATTATATATTACATTATATAAATTATACCTAAAAATATATTCAATAATGTATGGAAAGCTTTTATTTTTCCCTTGACAACTTTCTCTGCACTTAAGTTAGAGAGATAATATACATGGTATTAAAGGATAACAAATTTTCCGTATGTTACAGAACAATCAAACTGATGGAGAAGAATTACCAGAGATCGCCCTATCACTGTTGTCGCAGCTTCTAGTTGGTTCGCTTAAAACTTTTGTACCATAGCATCCAATCGATGGGCGCGTCGACGATGACCATCAAAGTAGCCAGTCGCGCTCCCATCTATAAAGTTCATGACATTTCTTTCTCTCATTCATTTCTAATCTTGTTTCCTTACTCATATATGAAATTATTTTCCTTTCTTCTGAACAATTTTCATTGTCGTCTCTATATACTTCTTTCATACTTTAAATATATAATATTTACATCATCATAAATTATATATTACTATCGATTTAGTTTTAAAAATTCTTTCAAAAAATTAAATTAAAAAACATATAAAAAATTAAAAATAATGCAATAATATTAAAATCTAATTTTAATTAAAAGTTAATTCAACTTTTGAAAAGCTTACCTACTTTACATAAATTTTATAATGATTATAAAATAAATTAATAAAAATATGAATTTGCCGAAAGCTTTATCAAATAATTTTTAACGCATTCTATAACTTATAAGAGACAAATTACAATTTATATCGAATAACAATAGTTTTATATAAATTGTGAATACGACCAGGTTTTAACTCTTTAATATATCACAATTTAATATATTAAAATTTAAATATATTACCACGTATCACTGGTCGAATTTACTTATAGCATACAAGAATACATTTTTTTATGATATTCAAAAAATAACAAAGTATATGAAATTTTATATATATGTTTAATCTTAAATAATGGAAATACCAAAATTTATAAAAATCCACAACTTTAACTCGAATTTTATAATGATAAATCTTTGTTTTAATCTTGATTGAGTAAATTCATTTGAATATTTGACATTTGTATTTCATTTATTACTATTGATTATAAATATAATTTGATTAAGTTGGAAATAAATAATATTTTTAATACATAATATATTAAAAAAAAAAAATAATTATGAAGATAAATTTAAATAAATACATACAACAACGAAATTATATTAAAATACATTTCTATCAATATTTTTTATAATACTAATATAGATAGAGTAAATACTTTATAAATATACAAGTCGTTATTTCATACATTCAATCTCTATCTTTTTGTATTTGCGATAACAAATTCATTTGTATGAAAATTGTAGATTTAATTTAATTATGTCTCATTAAATACAAATTAAATTTATTTGATGTCGCATCGAAAAATACTAAATGTATTTATAATTTGTGCATCGTCAATATATTTTTCGATAATAATTTCTCATGAAATATAAATATGTATTTATAAATTTCGTAGATTTTTAAAATACATTTTCTAATATTTAAACTTTATTTCAGGCGTTACTAAATAAAATTCTTGTAAATACTGAAACGTTGTGTAATATAAAAAAATTAAGTATTATTTAATTTATGTTTTGTTGTTGCAAATATTTCATAATAATCATAATCATACAGTTTTTTTTAAAAAAACACATTTGAATTTTTTGATAATCATCTATCTGATCAGGATTAGCGAAGATTTAGATGTTCATTATTTTCGAATACAAAATTTTGAATAACTTTTAAAAAATTTTGAATTTTATACACGAAATTTTCTTTGTCAAATATTCTAACTTTTTATTTTACAATTTAATTGAAATGAAATTTATCATTAGGTTAAGATTGATGTAATTTTCGTGTTATTCGTAATTTTGTTTTGAATTAAAACCTTTTCTGTAATATTTTCATGTTACATATTAGTTTCTTACTTATGATACGTATACATTTAATTTATTTACAAATACCGGATTTATTATGAATATATATATATATATATATATATATATATATTAATAGAAAATGTTTCTGTACATATAAAGACGATGAATTAATTCAATTAACTTTACATATAAATTAAATTTAATTAAATTAAATTAAATTAAATTTATAACTAATAATAGTACATATTTCATTATCAATGAATATACGTAGACTTGTATAATAAATGTCTAATATAAATTTATAATATAATTCATATTAAATATAAGTATGTAGTACAAAATATCATGAAAATTGTAATATTCATTATTTTCTTTTAAATTCTTTCAATTTATACAGTGGCGCAATATATTAATCTTATATCTATACATATATCGATAGATTTATATTATATTATTGAAGTTATGAAGCTGCCTGCATAAAATACATGAAAACTAATTATGAAAAGTATTTCATTAATTTAAGTAAATTAAAAATGTTAAATAATTTACTTCCAACCGCTATGAAATTCAAATAATATCTGAAATAATAAAAATTGACAACTCTTCATTACTTGTACGGTTTATTATTAAGTTCTGATTTTACTAAACTATGCAAATAATAAATATTTACATTGTATTTAGCATAATTTTGAATTTATATCTGTCTCTTTCAAAACAAAATTTTATAGTTTATTTTTTAGTTTAAATCGTAAAATATTCAGAACCTTAATTACATATATTAATACAATTACAAACAATATTTATTACTTACTATTTAAAATACTGAAATGTTTTACACCAAACCAATATCATCTATAAAATATAGAATTTACATTTATGAAATGAAACTTTACCTAATTGAAAAGGTGAATATTACTCAATAATAAGTACTAATGAAAAAATGTGTATAAGAATAAAAATCCATGATATGTAATAGCTATCAATTTAATGTTTCTGATTGCTTCTAAGTTCTTCTATTATACATTTTTAATGATAATAAATTCGATATATTCATAATTATTGTTTAAAATTTCTTTTGTAAGTAAGTAAAACTGACTATTTTGTTAAAATAATACGAAAATATCATATATATTCGTATTGAATAAAATAAGATATGTTCTCATTATCTATTATATTATAATATATAAATATATATATTTATTTAATATATCACATATGTAAAATAAAGAAAATTTACCGTTCAATATTGTAATATGAACTAAGAAATTTAGTGTAATTGTATTCTGCAAATATTCATATTGTAATTAATATCTTAAAGATAACAATTAAAACGAAAGCTATATATACATATGGACAAAATTAATTATATCGTTTGATAATAACATTTTCATAAATAATAATTAAATTAAATTTATCTGAATAAATTAATGATAAATTGAATTTCATTTTTTCAGTTTTTTTTATTATTTTTCAATAAAAAATAATGAATAAAGATTTTTTAAACTGTTTAATTTGGCTTGGAAGATAAACGCTTGATAAGGTCGAAAACTGCAGTCTTGAAAAACTATTAAATTAACGTTAGAGAAATATTGAAAAGTACGAAAATAAAAAATAAACAAGTTTACATAACAATAATATGTTCAATGTCATAATTTTAATAATTTTATAATTTCATAATTTTAATAATTTTATACTTTCATAAAGTCCACCTATTTTCAATGAAAACTATATCTGAATAAATATTTCTAATACCTACAAGAAAATTTTTCAAGTATATATGAACTTTTGCACCAATAAATAAGTAGTAATGAAACTTGAAACATTCACTACATTATGAAATCTAAGCATAGTAAAGAAATTGCTAAAATTGCTAAAACTGAATTTTTCAGTGACAGTATTATGCTACATAATTGCCTAAAAATACTACAATCATAACGAGAAAATACAAAGCATTCTTATTTAAAAAATTTAAAGAATGAAAGAGTATTCTTATATTCAATTGCACATACCAGGAATATTATTACAAATTGCTCATTCAATTTGAAACTAAATAGTCAGTTTAGGTTAACTAATTTTGAATGTTACTTAAATAATGCTTTTCATATATAGTTTTCTCAAAGTTTTGTAATTCCATATTCATTTTTTATTATTGAACCGCTTATATAATTTAAACATTTTTTTAATTACTGCTGTTTTTTCTAGATTTATTCTTATTTGATATTTCTGTTCGATATAATACCTGGACATTTTTCTTCTAGTAGTTTCCATTTGCTGTATGGAGAATAGTTTAATATTGTATTAAGAATGCAAGTAAAATTTATCGCCGTTTATTTATTTATCTTAAACATACCTATTTCAGCATTTTTCTCCAATTTATTCACCAATTTAAGATCGTAAATTATTTTTTCCTTTAGAGATTACTCAGTTTTTATACCACAGTAAATCTTTTCTGTTTTAATTTATAACCGTATTTAAATACTACATTTTTTCTGTTCTTTATTTTAAGTTTAACACTAAGATGTAATCAACAAATACCTTCACCTCCATTTATTATAAATTAAGTGATAACAGAATAATGAGCAAAGTTTAACAAAAGTAATAACTTTTTTTTATCATTCTGTAATTACATTTAATATATTTATAGCCAATTATTTACAAGTATTACAAATATTACAAGTAATATAATTAAATAACCTTACATTTACATTTCTAATTTGAAATGTTAAAAATGAAATTTTTAATTGACGAACATAAAAGTTATAGTTTCATTCAACTAATATAGCTTGATTATAATAATTTTACAGTGATTATAATGATACCAATGATTCATAATACAATTTCGTATAATATATAAGAAGATCTTAATGACAATTCCAACAAATTAACTCAAATTGTCATAAATTATGCGTAAAAGCATTTATAGGTTAACAGTGTAACGCTTATTTTAGACAAAATTTAAACAAAAATAAAAAGATAGTTTATAAAAGGATTTTTGAAAAATTTTCTAAAAATCTGAAACACTATAATTGTGTATTTTATAATATATTAATATATGCTAAAATTAAATTAATAATTAAATTCAAATAAAATATGGATCTTGTATATAGTGACTAAATAAGTGCCAGATGATGAGAGCATCATGCCAAAGAAACATAAAAAAGAAGGGAATAGAACTAACAAAATAAAAAAATAAGGACTCCGAGGACATAGGAGATTGGAGGAAATCTGATTCATTAATTTACAAATATTTCGACTGACATATATCGGAAATTTCCCATATGGGAAACTTCATTTAATCTTTAATAATAAAAAATAGCATTTTCATATTCATTCAATGCTATCCTTACAGACTTAAAAATGCTAAAATCACTCTTATCAAAGAAAATCAGAAATAAAAATTGAACATTCTCGTGTCTTGTTAGAGAAGGCAATTTCATATTACACCCATTTTTTATAAAGAATCATAGAACACGTAAACAATGCTATCCTTCAATTAAGTTAATTATAATCAACCATTCGATCACATCAGTTATGATACTAATCATTTACAGGTTTTGATTTCTTATTTTTTGTTTAAAATTCCATCTCCGATTGTGCAATAATATGTGAAGAATATACAATCAGATTGCAATATAAAACCATCGGGCTCAATTATTTATCATATTCTATGAAATTAAATATAATATAGATCATCCGTGTCTAAAATTAAGTAAAAAAATTATTTACTTTATACACATATTTTAAAAAACCCTAATAAATTTATTAACATAACTTTCCGCCGATCCTTACATACAAACAATTCTTTCAAATTTAGACGATACCTACTCATAGGATTGCAGATGACTATGAACTCATTTATTACAATATTTCATTATCATACGGGCTATAAAATCTATAGATTAATTGCTACTTTGATACTAGTTTTTGACTCATCGAGAAGATGTCTATATCTGTTTCCATAAAACCAGAAATTTTATATCTAAAACTATACCCTATTTAAGAACATTTACATTTAATATTAACGATTCATTGAGAATTTTTGTTAAAACAAATAATCTAGTCTATATAGTTCAATCTAGTTTATATATATATATTATACATTATAATAAAATGTTTTGATAAAATTATAATTTATAAACTCATATATATCTAAAAGAATACAATTTTTATATTAATTTAGTAGATCAAAATAAAATTATTCTCAAATTAGACTATATCTACCGTTCCCCAACAGGTGTTTTGCTGCTTCTTCTGATATTTCTATCAGTTGCTGGCAATGTGCTAGTAATTGTGGCAATATGTACAGACCGAGGATTACGAAGGATCGGCAATCTTTTTCTTGCCTCGCTTGCCGTTGCCGATCTTTTTGTTGGCTGTCTTGTAATGACTTTTGCTGGTGTGAATGATCTGTTAGGATACTGGGTCTTCGGCTCGTTCTTTTGTGATACATGGATAGCTTTCGACGTTATGTGCAGTACTGCATCGATACTTAATCTCTGTGCAATATCACTTGATCGCTATATACATATTAAGGATCCGCTTAGGTAAGCCCTCAATTATTAATATAAAAATTAATAATAGATAATTCAATTTAAAATCTAACGAACATACGTAATAATAAGAAAACTTTAGTAATTAGAAATGTAGAATTAAATTTTGTTAAAAGCACGATTACAGCTTCAACACTTTATGATATCAAAATATTATAAAAATAAAAATGCATTGAAATACTCTTGTAGTTGAAATAGTACTTACTCTTCAACTTAGATTACTTAAAACCAAATAGATTTCAAGAGGTTTCAAGTTTTCAATTCCTTTTAATTTTCGCTTATATTTTCGCCCATACTCGAAAAAATAAAAGTAGATTTACCCTATTTAGGAACACTAAAGAAATATTTAACTTCAAAATTACTTATACATCTTCATCCTTATTGTAACATCATTATTCTAAACTCAGCTATAGTCACAATATAGATATTTAAAAGTTTAATTTTTTTTAAAGACTTAAAAGAGACAAAAGGACATAATTGCGATTCATGGGTTCGTGAACAGTTTGGTAATACAATACAATAAAACATTTTATACAGTACGCTTTAAAAGTAAAAAAGATACGAAGAAATACGTAGAAATACATGTTCTAAAAGTGAAAGAATATCATTTACTACTTTGCAATTGGTGTTTCATTTTATTTTAAAAGTTTCTCTTAAAAGACTTGCATTTTTTATTAATGTAAATACTTTATTTTTAAATATTACATTTTTCTTAATTTTATTTTAACAAAGTCCAAATAATTTCTAGCGGTAATAAGTTCATATGTTTTAGAATCATCACTTTTCTAATATATGATTTAAATGCGATTTGTAATAAATATAAACGAAGGCATCAGGCCTGATTCTTAAAAAACTTCATATTTTAAATAAATTTTTAAGAATATTAAGATAAACCTTTTATACAATAGATACATTTTTTATTTTTTCTTACAATAGATGTTAACAATAAAATACTATTTATTTAGATATGGAAGATGGGTAACAAAAGGAACCGCTTGGACAAGCATAATGACGGTTTGGATGCTAGCCATACTTATATCTTTCCTGCCAATCAGTCTTGGATTGCATAGGCCAAACGAACCACCGGTAGTACATATTGTTGGCGAAAAGGTAAATGTTTTTTTAATTTAGCTAATTAACGAATAAGTAATATAATTTATTTTTAAATGAAATATTTAAAAATAACGGTACTATAAATTGGTGTCATAAATTGTCTCAAGGATCCGGTGAAAACGTATTAACATTTAGGGAGATCTTCAAGACTTTTAAGTTATCTTTATCTTTCTATCTTTTCTCTATTCTCTTCGAAACTTTTATGTAGGGTAAATATTTAATATATATTCTAACTGCCTATACCTACACGTATGCCCGAATACAGATATTCAAGGAATAACAGTAAAAAAACATGTACATTAAAAATTAAATCTATGCACCAATGTTGAAATAGTTACCAAGTTGAATTTACCAAGAAATATTATAATCAATAATCTATTTTTAATATAGAATTAAGCGAGCATTATAGCTGAGAATTAGTTATAAATATATATATTTACGAATAAGTAATAATATTAACAAACAAAATCAAATTTTTAATTTTTAATCTCAAATGTTGACTTTACCATACAAGTTATTTACGATAATCAATAAAATTTATCAATTTTATTATTAACTTACAACCTGTTTTTCTAGAGTATGTCAATGTAATCATATAAAATATATATTCTTTAATGAAAAAAAAATATATTTTTTCAGTGAAAATTTATATCAATATATAACGAATAGCTTGCAAAAAATTCATGTCAGAAAACGAAATAATACTTTTCACTGATTTTTACAATAATATTAAATATTCTACATAAATTGCCTAGTTAATTATTTTTTTTAATGATTAATTTAATTTTATATAGATGTATATAATTTTATATAGACATATATAGACATATATATATATATATATATATATAGATGAAAAATTCTGCTTCTTTCATTATAGTCATATCCGACTTGTGCCCTGGATCTAACGCCTACGTATGCCATAGTTTCATCTTGCATATCCTTTTATGTACCCTGTATCGTCATGATTGGCATCTACTGCAGGCTCTATTGTTACGCACAAAAACACGTTAAAAGTATCAGAGCAGTGACAAAGTTACCAGAACCCTCATCTCTGTCTAAGAGCTTTCGTTCAAAGAGTAAACGCATCAAAACACCCAAGCCACAAACGAAGACTAAGCCAACGACTCCATACCACGTATCCGATCACAAAGCAGCAATCACCGTAGGTGTTATTATGGGAGTTTTTCTCATCTGCTGGGTACCTTTTTTCTGCGTTAATATTGTTGCGGCTTTCTGCAAAACTTGCATCCCAGATTTGGCTTTTCAGGTATAATCAATTTATTCTCATTCATATTTTGTTTATCTAAATACTAGACCTGTGCATAAAAAAAATTACAGCTTTTACTTTTGTAAGAATTAAAATACTTACACTTTAAATAATTTATTTATAATATTATCCATTTCTTTTAGTCAAATTAATAGAATTTAAAAATAATAAACCTCATTTGAAATAATTGAAACAATATTTAAAAATAATAAAAAATAAAAAAGTATTTTTACTATTAATTTCGAATTTAGTTACTAATCCGGAACTACTTTCGGATCATGTTCTTTTATTAAATAATTCTTTGGTTTAAACTTACTTTCTTGAATTTCAACATATATCATAACATGTTAAATATTGATATAGGTGTAAATATAGATATCAGTAAAAATTTCTTTAAATATGTACCAAATATGTAACAAATTAAAGAATAAGATCTGAAATTAACAATACGTAAATGAAAGAAATAAGTAAAAGTATAACATTAAATGTAAGCTTTTGGATACAAAATATGGCAAAATAAAAAATAAAAATTTGTTAATTTTGATAAATTTAATAAATTTTTAAAAATTTTTTAATTTGATAAAAACCGATGCAAGAATATAGCGGATATTAATATCCAGTGAATCAAGGAAAATAAATATTATAAATTCGACAGTAAAAATAAACGTTTCCTTTAGAATTATAATAATTCATAAATATTCATTCACAATGTATTAAGATGTTAACTAGAAAATATATAAATTTATTTATGCAATAATTATGAATTATATTATTTGTAATAAAAATAAAATATTAAATAATAAATTATATATTTATTAAATTAATAATAATATATTATATTAATTAACTTATATTAACAATGTAAAAATATTTATAAAATTTTAATATCTTAATAATTTATTAGTTCAACAAATATCTTTAATTTATTAAAGATAAATAAATAAATAAAAATAATTCTCAAATCCCTGCCTATAAGTTAAAGTCTAAATATTCTAGGATGCATATATTAATAAATTTAATAAACTAAATCTATCTATTCTTTTATTTATCTTTTATACTTTTTTTTATTAAAAATTTATTTATGTTTAAGCAAAAGAAAAATAATTATATTTGTATGATTAAATGTTTTTAAATGTTTAATCATGCATAATACTTTACTTATTAGTAATTAAAATTAATTAAAGATTCAATTTTTTTAATAACGTTTAGAATTAACTAAGGCAGACCACTAGATGTTGTGTGGGAGAATGCGTGGGCAAGTGGAAGGGTTAATTCATTGATTCGATAGTTAACACATGTTTTTTTTTTATTTCCATTTATTCCGTCTACTTTCCAAATACAGGGATGATTATTATTGATGAGGTTATAGATGAACCTTTGTTACTCTTTGGCGATTGGAACGTGGCGTTGAGGTGCACTGCGGTTGGAGGTAGGAGGTTGTAAAGTTCCTGATCCTCGTGACGTAGTGCCTTTGATGGTAAATTACCCTAAGAAAAAGGAGAGGTTGTAAAGCCATCGCCACTTCTTTGAGTAGTGCCACGTGGGGAAACTGTGACTGTGTCGTGCTTTTAATTTTAAGCACAAGCGGCTTCTATTAAAGGCTAAGCTCAACACGGTATGGACCTGACAGGGTGATATGCAGGCTTCTCGCGTCGCGCGGACTAAGCCTTCCATGTGCTCGTGTTGGCTGCTGGAGATTCCGTATGACCTGGCGGATTGAGAATCGTAGACGATGCTGACGCACTCTTGTACTTACCTTTGATGCGCTCGGGCACAAGGGGCTTCTTCTAACGAGATGAGGCTCCACACGGTATGGAATTGAAGGGGCAACGCATGCTTCTCGCGTCGCGCGGACTAAGACCTCCATCGGCTCGTACTGGCTGCTGGAGATACCGTGTGATCTTGAGGAATGAGAGTCGTAGGCGATGCTGACGCTCTTTTGGACTTGCGAAGATTACTGATTAAGACTTTTTTCGGACAACATGAGTGAGTGGATGAGTGACTCATAGACTGTTGAATGAATAACTGAAAAAGACTGAGCAAACTGAGCCCTGGCTATTGTGTTTGTCCTTCTTAAATAGACCACTGACCCTGGTGTCCACTTGGGACACCTTCCTTTTGTTTGATTCCAATCAGAGCGCGGCCATTGGGCAGGATTGACCATGCACACCTCCTTTCCATCTTCCTTCCGAATTTAGGCTTGAAAATGCTAATATCGGAAAAGTGTCTTCGAGGGGTGAGCGTCTGCTATTGGTCATCTCGCCTTTCTCTTGGACTTGGCCATATGAGAGGTCTCCTGGAATTGTAGTCGATTGGCTCGTGCTAGAGCAACATTCGGCGTACTTAAGAACAATGTGCGCATTGTCTGTCATTTGCCGCTTACCCGATGCCATGGTACAGGGTTTTGGATTGCAATGAATTTTTAGAAATGTTTTTCCACTCGATAGTTTACGTACATCTGACACTCTGGAAATATTCTCGCGTAAACAGACTCGAAACATTCTTGCAAGTAAACAAGATCGTTTAACGCGACAAAAAACAATGAGTGCGAACGTGATGCAAAAATAAATAACATGACTATTCATGAATGTTTTCCAGATGTACCGAACCTTTCGAGCCTCCGACGACTGTGGGAGAGTTTTCGTCGAAGTTTTTTATGACACTCCGGCTGGATATTTAGATAAGCAAAAATTTGCAGAAGACTAACGAAATTTTAACGATGTTGTTTTGCCAGATATTTTATTGAATTAGAAAAAGTTCTGGCAATCTCGAACAAATAAATGCATGCTTTATATTAAATAGAAACTCAGATTGTTTCAGTTCATCAATGTAAAACTTTTTTTTAAATCTGTATATTGGGTTATAATTTTAGAACTGAATTTAAAATAATTTCAAATCACTTTTTATAATTAAAAGAAATATATTTATTCTCTTAGTTAATGAGGCATATAAAAATATCTTATTCATATAAGTAACCGTACAAAATATTTATTTTATCTATCCACTTATATTCTACAGTATTAAATCTATATTATTTAATTAGATATGATTTCATTGAATAATTATCAATCACGCAAAAGTAATTTTATATTAAAATTCTTAAATTAATTGTGTTCATCGATAATACTGTACATAAAATATAATATAATTTACCAACTAAATCTATTGAAATCATCTACATTATTTATATCGGAAAGATATAAAAAGTAATATAGAAATATTCCATTAAAAAAGACTAATGAATATAATTCGGATTATTTTAAAACCTAAACAATGTCGCAAAATGATTGCTAAGTAATAAGATTGATAAGTAGACTAAACTTAAATTATCAAATATTATTAGTTTTATAATCATATTTGATATTACATGACCTAAATTATTTAATTTAGAAAATAATTATTTTATATATTAAAATAATATACTGCATAAGCTACGTTAATATTTATTAACTACAAAATATTTTGGATAGAGATTCTCAAATCCCTGCCTATAAGTTAAAGTCTAAATATTCTAGGATGCATATATTAATAAATTTAATAGACTTAATTAATATATATTTCAATATTGATATACATTACATTTACATTTCACATTCTACATTTTCTGAATTTTTTTCATTTTATACGATATGAATTAATTCTTGTTGTCACTCATGAACTATTAGCATACAATAATTCTATTTATTACTATTAGTCTATTCTTTATAAATGAAACTGAAGTAAATTTCAATACATTGTTTATGTTTTTATTAAATCACTGACAAACCAAGCACTGTATCAAATTATTTGCATTCTGTATGCTTGTTATCGAAATCAAAACAATACAATTATAGATACAAATACTCGAATATTATCTACATTCTCAATTGCTATTTCCAAGTATAAATGTTGCTTCGTCTAGTTTTACTATTATTTTCAGTTTAAAAATAGTCTAACTAATTTTTATTCAGATCAATCTCTAATGGGTATTCAAAGTAATAATAAAAGTTTCAGTCTAGCTTTCAGCTTTTATATAATATTTTATATATTATTTTATATAATATTTTATATAATATTTTATATAATTTCATATATTTTATGTAATTTGATATGATATTTTATATAATTTTATATAATATTTTAAATAATTTTAGATAATATTAGATAACTTTATAAACAATTATATATAACGTATAATTTATATAATAAACACATACAGTACTATCCAAAGCTACTGATTTTATGCACTGAACGAATTATCCCTTTCAAATGTATGTAGATGCGAGTCGTATTATTATATATGTCGTTGCGATTGCGCAAACACTTCCTACGTCTTCACTGCTCAAAGTGTACTTGGCTCGTGTTTAGCATTTTAATATAATCGAGACTGATCAGTCAACCCTTAAGCCGTCGTATGATCAGATGTGAAGGGCGGAAGTAATCGCTACATCAAATAGCCTCAATGGAAATCGGCATTTGGTAACGCAGCATTTGCTGACGCCATTGTCGATGCTAAGTTTCTCAGCTTGCAGCAAGCGGTCGTCCGTGTTAGAAATATATATAATATATTTAATGATATATATAATGATCTTTTCTTATTATATATCGCAAATGCATTACGCACTTAATGCCAAAAAATTTTTCTGCATCATATGAAATATGAAATAAAAAAAATCATATGAAATAAAAAAAATGATATGAAAAAAATTATTTTCCTTAATAGAATAATAAATATATATATTAGATTCGATTAAATACATTCATAATTAATTTAATTTTTTAATTATGTCTAAAAACAACATCATAGAAATACTAAATTGTATATTCAACTGGAATTATAAAATATTAAATATCATTACATATTATACTATGTTAACATATTTATTACATAAATTATTATTTATGATCAATTCAAATCATACTTCTGTCTTATATGATAATCAAGAGTATGTGAAATTATTAATAATTATTCATTATCAACAAAAACAAATAAAAATTATCAGATATGAATATAAAAATTCATTTACACGCATTATTATTAAATGAAATAACTAATTTTATTTTACAACAGATCTTAACCTGGCTCGGATACAGTAATTCAGCCTTCAATCCGATCATCTACAGCATCTTTAATACTGAGTTTCGCGAAGCTTTCAAGCGCATTTTGACGAAAGGCGCACGGACTCGTTACAATCAACCCTCCACAAGCGAATGCGGTGAATTCCGATCAATCGTTGTTACGAAACGCAACGGTTCTATCGTTGAATGTAATATTAGCCCACGATCAAGTGCCGATAGCAGTCAAGTCGGTTCGATTGGTCAGCGACATCGAGACACAATCGTTAGCGCTATTTAAAGATAAAGATAAAGATTTAAAGATAAAGACCTATTAACATGAGAATAAGAATATAAGCTGTTTTCGTATCCTTTTTTTAAGTATCAATGGGCTTTATGAGACAATCAGCAGAGATTTTCATAAAATCAAGACATATCCTACACTGAAAGCGAAACAATTCTTATGAGTAACAATGATTTATATTTATATTAGAGTACAGTTGATAGCTACAAACTTTTTATTTTTATTTTCTATGTGTATGAGTCGTAGTATTACTGACAATATTTATTTGTGTTAATATTTATTTTTGTTAATATTGCTTTCATTTTTGTATACGTTAATTTCTAAATTAAAAATTATTAAGAAATTATAAACATTTTTGTAAAGACTGGTTTTAAATGTGATAACCATTCAATAATTCATTTATTGAAAGCAGTACCGCAAATAATCACAAAAATTGTATAAATATCAAAATAAACAGATTTAACTATTTATTTATTGTACAATAAAATAAAATAATTTAAAATACAATTACGAATGAAGAAAAGCACAATTTATAATAAAAATTAAATAATTTATATTAAATAAGATAATAAAGTTATTCTAAATTTATAATAAAAATCTATTCTTATATTTTTTAACTTTCCGAAATAAATGAAAATATAATTAAATTATTGAAATTATTAAAAAAAAACTGCTTTAAAATTTGATTGTTTTCAAATACTATATTAAAATATCTATTAAAAAAATAAGTCATATCTAAAATAAAATTATTTAATCTTTTTAAGAAAAATAGTTTGAAGTGCATTATTTTCAACTGTACTCTATTTTTACGAAGTATAAATGAAACTAATGTTGGCTTCAAAATTATATAAATTAAAACAATGTTGGAAATATATTTTATTACAATGAAAGTTTTCGAAGAATTTATAACATTTTCATCTTAATGTATTATTGAATGAAAAAATACATTAACACATTTTAATTTATAATAAAAATAAAATAGAAAAACAAAAATGATATTTCTATTGTTTTTAATTTTAATATATTTGAAAATATTAAGTAATACAATTACTGACTGAAATATTCGTAATACAATAAACGATTATTATTACAATATGATTAGATTGATATAGTAAGCTTAAATTTTTTGTATAATTTTATTTCCTTATAAAACAATGATTAATAAATACTAACCACTTTTTAAAGTAAAAATCAGTCCGATTATTAGATCGTAAGAATCAAGTGATTGTTTCTTAGTAGAAATTCTGATTGATCTTTTGTAATAAATGATAAATATAAAGAAATCATATAATTGTGTAAATCGATATAATATGAATGAAAAGATTAAAAATAATATGAATTACATTCACAACCTGCACTTAAATTTTTACAAACATATGTTTAGTATATTTATATTAAAACATTTTTTACTTTACATATGCTATTTTAAATACATCTTTTTATTAAACACGAATAATATTATACTGATTTGCCAAAAAAAAAATTAAAAAACATAATATTTCCTATTGATAGTTTAACATGTTAATTCAATATGATAAAGCGCTATTATATGTAACAAAGAAATTTAACTAGCAGTAAAGAAAATTCGATAATTAGAATATTGAAAGGTATTTTTCTTAGCTACAAAGAAATTATTTAATTTATAAACAATGAATACTCAAATTAAAACTTATTTTCCTTTTTAAGACTTAGTTCACAATTATTTATTAAATATGAACTATTATTACCTTATCCATAGATGTTTTAAAAGAAATTTCAAATAATATAATATTAATGATATATACATGCTAGCAATTTCTAGCATATTTCTATTCTTGATATTAAAGTGACATATTCCATTATTATAAATTGGTAAATAATTTGTAATTTTCTGTTGAACCGAATGAAATTTTTACAAACAGGTACTACTTTCGCCATATTATTTCAATATTCAAAATATAAGTATATATTTATATAAGTATTTTTATATAGTATTTATTCTCACATTTATCGAATTTTTTATACTGTCAATGATATCCATAATTCTATTTACAAAAATCTACTTATTAAATTATAAAATTGGGTTTTATTAAGATTTAAACAAAATTGCGACCAACATTTTGTACAATTAAATTTTATTCTTGATAGTATTAGATTTTAGAATTATAAGTATATTTTATTTACTTGTGATCGATTCTAAAATAATGATCATTAATTAAAATAACTTTTAAGTATAATTTACTTTATTTAGTTCATCGTATTAAGAAGAAAAGTTTTATGAAATATTTATCATATAAATTTTATTTTTAAATAAATTTATTCTTGTATAATTATTAATGAAAACATTTATTAACATATGATTTAATAGAAAAAATTTCATCAACTTTAAATTTAGTTTTTAACATTTCCTATTTTATTAACATCAATTAATATGTAAATTGGCTAACTCTTATACATGATCCAATTTATAAATTATGTATTCTTGAAATCATAAATTGTTATATTTTTCAATGATCTATTTAAATATTGTAGTAATTTAAGTAAGTAAGTAGTAATTTAAAAAATTCTTATAAAAAATTATTAATAAATATTTATCCGTATACATACACATAGATATTATATTATATTATATATATATATATATATATATATATATATATATATATATGACTATGTATGAATATATATATATATATATATGAAATCATTAATGACTAAATTAGTATCCTATAAAATAAATATTTTATACAGGAAATTATCTAGAACCACCAAAATTCTTGAAATTTTTCTAAAAATTAAACGTGTACAGTTCCTAATATCAATAGTCATTGGCCTATCTTTAAAAATAATAAGAAACTCTTTTAATAGACTATCCATTTAGTAAAAACATTTTTTTACTTCAAAGCTTTTATTAAATTATTTATAAACAACATATACAATTGATTCATATGTAATTCAATAATATTTGCAATATTAAAATAATATTTTATGTTAATACATTAAAAACTATTAAATTTTCCGTATTATTATAAAAGCGTTTTAAATGTTTCATTCCAAATTTTTAATGTTCGAATAAAAAATTTGTCAATTAACGTTTACAAATCCAATATTACAATTTTCTTCGTCTTCCATAAAATTTTAGTCATCTTTACAAATCATTATATTTAATATTTAATCATATTTTATAAATCATTATTAAAAAATTCTTATGTTGATATCAATAACAATATATGCCATAACTATGCTATGCTATTAGTTTTCATACTTTAGTACAAATATATTAAAGCTTTATTTCTTGTTTCGCGAGTAACTTCATATTAAAAAAGTATAGTATTGTTATTTAATTATTTGTAAATTGTTTCTTAACATCAATATTTAAATAATTAATATTGTAAATCCATTAAGCATGTTTTATGTTATAAAATTCCATATTTTAGAAGATTTCATAAATTTAATTATTTTTTATATAAATATGTAATTTTAACAGTAGTATATAATAAAAAATCGTAATCTATTAATAACTTTTTTTTTAACTATTCACTATTAACTTTTTTTATTGACGAAAAATTTTGTTAACGACTTAATGGTATTGAATTATGAATTTCATTTAATAATGAATAGAAATTTCCAAAATTTTTGCCAAAATCTTCGATTTGTTTACTAAACTTATTTCTGAAATTTAATTTTTCTTTTTTGATATGTCTAAAAATATTTTTAAAAAAATACATACAAAACCAAAGTAATTATCGTATGTAAAGACAAACATAGTTCTCTGTACACTCTTCAATACAATATTCTTTTCATAGTTACAATTCAATCATAAGTGAATTTTATAATTTCGAAATCTTTTAAGAATTTAAATTGTAAATAATGCCTTCGACTTATACTGACCTTCAATCTTAAAATACTATACATTTAAAAAGTCTTCGAATAGATTGCAAGGTCTTCGACAATTCTTTATAATTTTTAGTATTATATTTTCAGAATTATGTAATATTTATAAATAAATCAAAGATCGATTTTGCTATTTGTAGAAGATCTTTATTTCTTAATTCATAAATATTCATTTGACAAAATTTAGAATAAATTTTTGTAAAATAATAATTTTTGAAAAACATTACTTTCAACTCATAATTTTTCTTTAACAAATAGTTTGAAGTACGTATTATATATGTAACATAATTAAGATTTCTTTTTACGGATTAAAAAAGTTCAAGAACATGAATGATTTTACTTTCGTTTTAAAATTTCATTATTTCTATAAAACTCATAAATTTGCAAATTTAAATTTATGAATAACTTTTATGATTACATAATTTATTTTCAAAATAATATTTATAATTCATTTGAAATATTTATAAAGAAGTAAATTGAAAGCATTTTTTTCTTATGATATATGAATTATGTTTTGTATTAATATTAGTTATATTTTTTTAACACAAAATTTTCTCATTTGTTTAAAAAGAACGTAAGATATTTATATTGTTAAAGGTTATGAAATTTATATTATAATAGTATCGATATATAAGTATAATAAATTTTCATAAAATTTTTCTTCTATTAGTAAGTGACGCATAATTCTTTATATAGTGTTAATTAAAAGTAATAGTCAGTATTTTGAGAAAACAAAGTATTTTATACTTATTTAATAAAAATAATGGAAGTTGAAAATCAATAATTTACTCTACTTACAAATTAATTATAATTGTCAATACAAAAGTAATAAAAGAAATCTAATTGAATATAAGTCCAATCTAGTACGCAGAATATAACTAACAATTACAAGAAATGTGTAATAGCGATTTACATTATGCAATTTGTATCGTGTAAAAATATAAATTTTATAGTATTAATTTTATATATAAGTCCACTTAATTTTAAATAAATATATAAATATATAATAGATTTTTAAAAACTTTTTTTTTAATTTGAACTGATAATTTTAATTTTTGCTATTAGTATTATATTATTTATTACAGATTACTGGTACATTATTTTTTAAATTAAATTAAAAATAACAAAACAGATATATTAAGAAAAAAATTTTAGTCCATAATCAATAGTAAGTCGCGCATTAAAGATCATTTTTCACATTTCTACAAATATAACATTTGGATTTTTATGATTTACTTAGAAGTTTCAAAAAGTAATTATTTTATAAAAAAACACGATATTAACTAAAAAATATACACTATACTAAAAAAAAAAAGAGCTTATAACATTTAGGATTTATAACATTGCATTCCCATATTAAATTCTTAATTTATAATAGTCTTTAAAAAATTGTTATATTTAAGTTCAGAAAATATTAAATTTTATAGCATTATTTATTTTAAATAAGTTATTAAGAACTAATTATATATTATTCTTATTTTAAAATAATCGATTATCAAACAAAAATTATTTGGACATGAAATAATTTTTTTTGTATATTTATTAATGTTAATTAATTAATTTCCAGATTCATTAGGAATTATTAAATATATAGAATTATTTGTATGTTTGTAATATTTTAATATAAATGAATTATAAAATAAATGAATGTATGTTTTTTACTAACAATTAATTTACTATTATTCTACGGCACTTTATATTTAATAATAAATGCAATATTATTAATTAACATAGGCTAATTATTATAATTTATATTATTAATTTATATGTATATATGCATAAGTGTGTAGACTTGATATACTTATTAACAAAATATTGAATCACAAATAAAAAAAATTAATTATTTAGATTTAATTAATTTTTTATTCATTAAAAAACAAGAAAAAATTTGTTTTTTTAGTACAAAAAAATTATATATTTTTGTTGAATTTAAATGTATTATTTATAATATTAAGAAAGAATATATTATGCATCACTTTTATTTGACAGTTTTCACAATAATAAAAAACTGAAGCATAATATTAATGGAAGCAATGTATAGAAACAAATTTCTAAACAAACAAATGACTAAAAATTTTCGATAACTAGAATTTATTTCTTCAAGTACCTTATATAAAAGAATATAATATTTATAATATAATATAATCTTTAAAATCTCAAATATCTTATAATGTTTTAAAGATACTTGTTAAATAAAAATTAAATTCATTTTTATATAAAATAATAAAGTTGAGATATTTTAACAGTTAAAATGGCAATGTGTAAAAGATTATTTACTGATTATAAACTCGATTTTTACTCAAATGTTTCAATGTTGAAAATCTATCAGAAACTTCTTAAAAAAGCAAATTATTACTAATAATATTAGTTATAGGAATACAAATTGTATTCTTTTATTCTCGGGATGATAATCAATATAATAATTAATAGACAAACTCAAAAAAATAAAATTTCTCTTACAAATAGTATTTTAGTGACCTAAAAATAAATTAAATTTTTTAATAATTGATAAAATATCCTAAGTTTCCTATAAATTTTATTGATTATAGATACTCAACAAATATTTTCAAAAAATATTTTATAAGAACTCTTTTATGATCTTATAAACAGAAAGGTACGGAAAAAGAAAAATGTTCCTTACCAAATTTTTTATACTATTCAACAAATTTTTAAAAAAATAAAACTAAAATTTTCTGAAATATTCTATATAAAATAAAAATATTTAGTAAATAAAAATCTAATTATACTTGGACAGAGAATCTTATTTGAAATACTCGATTCAAACTTTTTTTTAAATTTAAAGATTTATCGATTTCTATTTTGATGTTTTATAAAAAAGAATGAAAAAAGATAAATATTCTGTTGCTGTATTAATTACATCGGTGGACTACTCAATGTATTTTTAAATATGGATAAGAAATCTATTGTAATTTATGTTATATTATATTTGATTATGTTTTAAACATTTCTCATATTAAAAACTTTAATTATCAGAAAATACTAGAATCATATTATGTTAACATTAAGACAAAATTAATTTTATTTAAAAATATAAAAATTTATTTACATATCAGAAATTTGCTTTGGTTCGTTTTGTGTCAAACTATTTTAAATTATTGATCATGAATCTGTAACTATTGTTCATGATTAATATATTTCGAAATATAAATATTATTAACATATTACATAAGAAGTACTAAAAACAAAAAGTAAAGTACAATTTCCTAAAATAAATTTTTTAAAGTAAAATACAGCATTAGTTAATTCATTGTAGGCCTAATATTTGACGAATCATACGTATGATTCAGCGATATCACGTACGTTATATATTAAAGCTCTGCTAAACAGCCACTTTCTGTAGGTTCATTTTATTTCATAAGTTCTCAATATGATGAATACATGCATGACTCAATAATACAAATTCTGTAAATTCTTAGTAAAAATTAAAGCAATTTACGTGAAAAATACAGATAATGAATTCACACGTCTGTCAACACAATTATTTATTAGAAATATTACTTATCATGAAGAAGTACTACTGAAACATGCAATGTTGTTAAAAATTTATTAGAACGCGTAGCAAAAGGTGACGATATTAAGTAAATTATATATTCAAAATCTTTGCCCATAAAAATCTTTAAAGTCAGTATGAAAACAAAAATGTTAATAGTGCTTTATAATAAATTTAATAGGTATGAAAAACAAATATAAGCAAAAATTTTAATGAGCTTTTTACAAAAATGAGTTTTATAAATAATTGCATACAGTACATCAAGGTCGCATCACCTTCATTTCGCACTTATTCAGACAAATTAAAAAAAAAAAGTATATCCGATTTTGTAAATAGTTTTTTATCGTATAATTCTAAAGATAAAATTTTAAATATCAATTCTCTCCATAATAAATTTTTAAATAATTATTTGCACTCAGATCAAATTTTTTTTATTTTACAAATTTTTATTTTGTAAACTTTTTAATTTTATTATTTACAAAATTATCCTTTGTACATATTTGTATTTTTCATAGATTAATTATGTTTTTGTTAAATTAATGATAGCATTTAGTTGATTAATTTTAATTAAAAAATCAATTATAATAGTTTGCTTTAAATATTTAATCAATAAAAAGGCATTGTAATGTTTTTATATTTGAAGTACTGAAATAAATAAATTGAAATTAGTATATGTCTAAATTAAAAATCTCTCATATATTTATTGATTGAAAAAATGTGTAGTTTAAATTACATTATTGCTTTAATTTTTTGTACTTAGTTTTATCTTTGGAAATAATATCATATTTTCACTACTAAGGGGTTTTGATTTAGCCGATTTTAAAGAATTAAGATACTTTGGTTGTGTATTGCACCAATTTCTGGCATGTATCGGTACATTTAAAAAATTTAATAAATTACTACTAAGATCTGGTACTACTGGGTAAAGAACTATAGCACTAATTCGTGTAGTTTCTAGAGCCAAAGCTATTACAGAGTTTAATTCAATAATGTCCAAATTATCCGTTTTCTTCCTTAATAACCAAGGTTTATGATATTCCACCATGAGGTTCGCGCTTCTTAGAGTTTTCATAACTGCTTCTATTACATAACTGATATGAAATGATTCGTAATATTGTTGTGCAATCTTTCCTAGAGATTCGATGTTGTTTCGTAATTTCATTGCAGGCTCGGATGTTAAATTATTAACATATATTTCAATACTTGGTATTTGATTCATAGGATTAACCATTTTTCCTGTGCATCTGCTAATTAAATTTCCAAATGTATCGGCTAACTCACTGTTCAGTACATTTAAAATCACTTCTGCACTATAATCTAAAAATAAATATTAAGTGTAAAAACTTACATAAGGTATTCTATGTACTTGACAATCATACTGTTCTATTTCTAAAGGTGATATCAAATTTAACTAAAACCAACTAAAAGAATTTGACCATATTTATGATCAAAAATATTCTTTTAATATATTATATTGTCCTTACGAGTTAAAAATTATGCTATTTTGTATTATATAAAATTATATGGACTGTTCTTTCATTTGTTAAATATTTAATTATTGTTAACAACTAAATGTATAAAATAGATGCAATTATGTAAATTAAATAAAATAAAAAATTATTCTAAATAATTTGAAGTTTGTATTTATTGTTCTTCTAAACAAATAAACCACAATGAAAGTAAATCAGAAGGTTTTTCAAATACATATAATCACAAAAGTATTTAACATTCAATAAATATATATTTATAATTTCCAAATGTTTGTTACCATAACTATTTGTAAAGTGCCTTTTATAAGAATAAACATATATTTTATTGAATTTATTATTTTTTATTATTCTACTATTTTAAGCAAAATTTTAGTGTTCTGTATACAATAACAATTATAGAAATTAAAATGAAAATATTGAGAACTAATAAGACTCCTATTTTATCTTACCGATTTTATAAAAATCTAAAATAATTCTTGTTTTATAAGAATTATATTTAATTAAACTATTCATAAAAAAATAATTTATAAGTATAACTTATTTATAGATACATTTACAAAAAAATTAATTCCATTTCTTATTTTTACATTAATAAGTTCTCCAAAATAGCATTGAAATAAAACTACTGATAATTGGTTTAATAGATATTCAACAATTCAAATTTGTTCTGCTTATAGGAAGAACGTAAACATGTAGTGTTCTATTTTTAAGTATGCTATATGTGCGATTTAACATTATAATCATTTTACTTAAAACATTTATTTTGAAAATCATATGAAATTTATATTACTTACTACAATCTTTTTGTAAATTTGAGTTCCTTAAAAGAAAATATCTCAATCCTTCTGGTGTAAAATCTTTAGCAGCAACAAAAGGAGAAATGACATTCCCTATTGATTTCGACATTTTCATATGATCAATAGTCCAATGGGAATGACAAAGTAAAGTTCTTGGTGGTTCTAATCCAGCTGCTATTAAAAATGCTGGCCAGTATATACCATGAAATTTCAAAATATCCTTCCCAATTACCTGTAAAATATTTGTTCATTTAATTAATATTACAAATATATTTTATATAAATTAAAACAGATATTAAGGAATAATAATAAATACATTTTTTCACTATGTTAAATGTTTATTTTATCTTTCTAATTAAATGTTTTATATACCATCAATAATGACGTTTGTCTTATGTTTATAAATATTTTGGATGTTTTTCTTACCTTAAAATTCATAATAATCATATGTTAGATTTTATAAAAAAAATTTTTCATTACTTCTACGATAATCCTTATTAGATAAACATTTGATACAATAAAATATTTAATAAATAATGTAACTTACTTGAACAGTAGGTGGCCAAAATTTTTTAAATTTTTCATTTGGGTATCCTAGTGATGTTAAATAATTAATTAAAGCATCCAACCACACATAAATTGTTTGATTTTTATCATTTGGTGTAGGAATACCCCAAGAAACTCTATTTATTGGCCTTGAAATACTAAAATCTTTCAAAACAATTTCATCATCAATCCACTGAGATAATATTCTATGAAAAGTTCGGGGTTGAACAACTTTCTCTATAAAAAGTGTATTGATAATAAAAATACAAAAAATAAAATAGAAAACTTAAAATTATTATCAAGTTCAAGAATATAAATATTGCAGTCAACAACAATATTTAATGAAATACAATATATATTTAACTATTCTATCAATTCTATAAGTTATTAATAAATATTACAAAAAAAATAAAAACATTAACATTAAATTTTAGATGGTATTTACGGGATAAATTATCAACATTTATTTTGAGTATTATTTGAAAATATTGTATTTACCTATTGTATATTTCGAAATATTATAAATGAACACAAATAAATAATTGAGTTAACTGTTAATTATTTTAACAAAAAATTTCTAATTCATTCATATTATATATATATATATATTTTTTTTTTTTAATCGAAAATACCAAATATAAGTTTAAGAAAATTATATTTTGATTTGGATTAATTTTAGAACCAGAAATAACAACTGAATAAACTTTAAATAAGAAGATAATTTAACTCTAGATCAACATTAAAATAAAAATTATTTAAAAAAAACTTTCACAATTTTTCTATTATAATTTTTAATATAAAAATAAGAGTATAGACTTAAAATAATATATAAACCAAAAGAACAATTACATTACATTTAACAATTTCTACTTTAAAAAATTTGTTTAATAAAATACCATCTTTTAGCCAATATTTCAAATCATTCTGAAATTTACTAAGTTGAAATTTATAATTTTCTTCTTCAGTCCATTCAACAGTATGACCTGATTCTATTGAAACTTTAATAACATTACCAGATGGTAATACTTTTTCAATTAAATCTTCACTTGATAAAAATGCTTCTTCTGATACACAGTACCAACCAGAATACTTTCCTTTATAAATGTGATTTCTTTCCTCTAAAAGTCTCTAAGAAAATAACAATTTTTATAAATGTATACAATATAAATTCTATATTATTAAATGTAAACAGATATACATAAATAAGCAATTACCCAAAAATATTGAACGGTATCATAATGACAAGGATCTGTTGTTCTTATAAAATTTGTATAATTAATATTAAAAGTCTCACACATTTTTTTAAATATCTTTGACATTTTATTACAATATTGATTAGTAGCTAAGTTGCAATATTTTGCAGCATCTTGAACTTTGATCCCATGTTCATCTGTCCCAGTATTCAATGCAACTATATGATTTTGCATTGAATTAAATCTAGCAATTGAATCTGCCAAAACTGCTGTATATAAATGTCCAATATGAGGATCTAAAAATTAGTTAAATATTAAGCTAGTAGTTCTAATAAAACTAAACAAAATTGTTTTATTTAAAAATTTATTTTTAAACAATGTGTGTACTATTTATATGCTGTGTCAGTGACTGTTGAATGAAATTTTTAAATAAAAAAGATACACAAATAACATTTTTTGAAAATATTTTTGTTTTCCTACTAACAATAAATGCATTTAATAACAAATAAAAATAAACTTAAAAATAAATTTGTAATATGCACAAAGAATAACGAAAAATTGATATGAAAAAATAAAAATAACTATTTTTCTATCTAAATAAATTTGTATTTACCAGCATTTACATAAAAAATTGGTGTAGTAATATATTTATATTCAGAAGCTAACTGTGAGTAAGCTTTAACTGCACTTATTTTTTCAATTGTTTTTAATTTCCACAATTGCGAATAATTCCATGACAATTGCAAATTGCGTGTTGACTTTAAACATCTAGAAATAACTACACAAAAAATTTATATATATATACATACTGTAATCATAATTATAATGCATGTATAATAGGATCCCATGATTTTTATATTATATATATATATAAATAATACAATAATTATAATATAAAATTTTTAAAACCATGTATATTCATTTTAAGATATTTTAAGTTTACAAAATGTTTTTTGATTATCGTAACCATGATAAGAATTGTATTTCAATTATGTCATATTATTTAAAATACAATTTTATACATTTATTTTTAAATGTCCATTAAACTTAAAATACTGAAAATTTTAAAAGTATTACATTGTTATCTATTTAACAATTAATATAAATAACTAAAATTTTTCAAAAAACTATATTGTATATATATTGAATAGATAAAATAAAAACATGAATAAGCTACACAAAACATTTATTTTCACGAATCAATATCAGTGCAAACTACATTTTAAAATTAAAATTATAATTATTTCATTTTTTTTGATAATAAAGAACCACTGGCACTATAATCAAAAGAAATTGTCTCTAAATTTGTAATTAAATCCATGTGTTTGAAATTATTTGGGTCCTCTGTAAATGTCTGTAGTAACTTCAATCGATGAGGATTATCTGAAGAATAATACATTTGTAATTCATTTGCCAAGCATTGAGCTTCTTGTGCAGTGATAGATTTAATATCAAAATTTCCATTCATCAATACAATATCTTTAGTTTCCATTAGCTCTGTATAATGTATCATGGTCAGACACTCTGGAGCATTTTCTTTATGTACTTGATACCACAATAGTGGTGTCATATGAATTTTATTTCCATAAAATTGAGTCATAATAAATTCATAACCATGATCACGTGGTAAAGGTAATAGGAAAGTATTATATTTTTTACTACGTTCAAATATTTTTTTAAATTGCTCTTTTGTTAATACCCCAGAAATACAATCCTTTTGTTTGTGATATTCATACCAAATATCTTTTATTTCCTCTTTATTTTTATTTTCAATCAAATCCATCTTCATTATATTATTTAATTTATCTTCTTTGGTTTGTAATTCAGAGTCAAATTTCGGTTTTACTAGTTGTGTTACTTCAAATTGCTTATCCAAAGTTTGATGCTCTTGAATAATGTGATTTATTTTTATAATTAATTATTGAATTTCAATTATGATATAATAATAATTAAACAATTAGGACTATAATTTTTATAATAAATATAACTTTGTACTTAAAATTAATTAAAATTTAATTATTGCTATTAATTATATATTTGGAAAAGAATTTAATAAAGTTTGGTTTCACAATTTTATAAAATATTACAGAAAAGATGTTACAAGGTATTATTTTTAAGATATTTCAAAAAAATAAAAAATTTATTATAAAATTAATGTATTTATATAAAAATATAATATAATTAGCTAGTATTAATTTAAACAATTAATCATAATAAATATTAATGACGCACCTTTCTTCTTTTTAATGATGCGCTCTTTTTCTTCAATTCTCTGAAGAAACTCTACAGGATTTGTCTGCTGAAGCTTAGAAATTTTATTGGCATATTTTTTAAAATATGGATTTGTCTGTAAATCATCAAAAATCTTTTCAAATCTTGAACAGCTTGACATTATCAATCTTTTTAAGGTGAATGTAATAGCACTGTTTGTTTTCCTTGGATCAAGATATAATTTAAATTTACTTCGACGTAAAAAAATTGCCATTGACAACATTTAATTACTATAAAAAATAAAAAATTAATTTATAAAATATGTTTAATAACTGCAATGTTTTTTTTATTTTCCATTATGAAATATATATGGTTTGATGTTATATTTTATAATACATACATGTATAGAAATATTCAACATAAATTATGATTAAATCAAATAAAATATTATTTTCACATTATACTTTCTTAACCTATTATTTTCGAACAAATTTTTAAATTTTCATATGAAAAAGTTGAACACAAATTCTTAAATAAAAATTACCAAAGCATTTCCTGAACTACCATCGTTATTGTTAGTAATAAAGCAAGTAAGCAACTAACAATAAAACAATAAATAGTTACTGTTATAAATCACAGATATAGTAATATTAATTCCAGGTCGACTTCAAAATACATCATTAATTGGTTCTCACGAATGCGCGTTATATGAATATCGAATACAAATTTATTCCAATCATATCATTAATAGACTACTTTTTAAAAAAATATGTATGGTCATTATTATTTAACTTATTACTAATATTTTCTATTATATTTAATATTTAGAAGAATATTAAATATAATAAACGTATTAGTAATATTCATTAACAATTATGTTTATAATCTAAAAACGAGATTTTGTAGCTGAAAGTGAGAGTGAAAGAAAAAGAGATAAAGAAAACAAATTTTAATTATATCTTCGTCTATGAATACAATTTTGTGACATCTAAATCTCAATATATAGTGATTTTATAGTACTTTAGATCGGGTTTACTGCATTGTAGTTTATTCATATGATTTCTAAGTGTATAAAATAAAAGTCAGAAATAAACAATATTTTAATTCAGTTGATTTTCGATTGAATCAGAGGTAGATATGTACATAATATAATAACTAATTTTTCTCGGTGAAAGTATAGTTACAATTATAGCTGATTAGCTGCATTAATGGAATGATACGAAATGCACGCGTTAAAAAAATTAATAATATGTAGATGCACGAAATTTTAAAAATAGCTCTGATAAGTTAATCTATTTATGAATTTTTCCATCGAATGGTCAAATACGGGAACAACGAATTTTTAAAAAATGTATATAGTCTTGAGTACAAGGAAGCATATATCTAATTGGCGCACTGCAACATATTTTCTTCGTGGTCTAGGCTAAAAGTAAGCTATTAAAATTTCAATATGATCATTTTGTTTTAAATGAGCGCTTTCAAGTATTCATTCTTTTAATCAGCGATCAATAAAACTTTGGAGATGATCACTAATATTTTACACAATATGTCGGTAAGTATACTACACCAGTGTTTTTTTAAAATCAGTGATATGCCTGAAATGAGTTGTTAAATTTGTTAAATTTTATTTAATAAATAATTATTTGGAAAAATTAATAAATTATCAAACAGAAACTAGTAATTTAACGATATAATTAAGTGCTTTAAAGTCAACGATTCGAATTATCACCAATTTAATTTAAAAATGTAAAAGAGTATTATAATTAGAGAAATTATTTTGTATGTAATTCTTTTAAATAAAATAAAATATTAAAATTTCGATACTAATTATTATGTAATATATGAAACAGTGTTTGAACTATAATAAATTTCTTAATTTCTTTATATCATCCGTCACTTTTCTATAATGGATTGACTGCGTATTGCATTGTACAACCACAAAAGAGGAAAGAAAGTTCTATACACCGATAGATTTTTAATTAATCTTTCAGAAGAAAAATAATGTGATCTTTTAAATAAAAATATATTAAGTATTGCAACATGAAAAATAAATATATTGATTACTACTAGTCGAATCGCTTGTTATTTATAATAAAAACTAATTACTAAGCTAATCTATTAAATTGACGGAGTCGTATACTAGACCAAAACTAACTAAAAACAAAACAGACAGCTAAGGTAATTAGATATTATTGGTGTAATTATACAGTGAGGAAGAGAGCAAATTAATTTGAATTATTTTGTGTAAAGGAGAACATGTGCGAACGTCTGTTATATGGATATCCATGCATGAAAGTGAGATGTTGTGAGCGGGAGTGAGAGATAGAGGGAGAAAAGTCGAGTGAGCAGAGTGCGAGAGGGGGAGAGAGAGCGAAAGAGCACTCCGGTTGGGAACTATGCGTGAGAAGGAAGGGATAGAAGGTAGATTGACAAATAGAGAGAAAGAGAGAGAGAGCGCGCAAGATAAGAGGAAAAATTGAGAGGGAAAAAATCTACTAAACTAGAAAGCACAGAACAGAATGATATTTGTGTCAGTACGCGCCATTAATTTTACGATCACACATTGTAAAAATAAATAACACATAGTGTAACCGAAAAGTTGTGCTTTATTTTTTGACATTGTGATACCGGCAAGAATCAACCCTGGATCTTGTTTGTTGTGGCACAGCCATAAAACAATATCAGCACTGACCTCGAGGCAAGCGCCTCTAATTCTCTTCTAGCAGAGTGACGTGTGTGAGTGCGCGGAACGGCAAAAGCCGTGTGTGTGATATTTTTTTCTTATTAACTTAGCTTTTGTCATCATTGTTGTACCGTACAAAATTAACCTATAAAAATTATTATCTGATAGTACATTTCGTACAATTCTACAAGTGTACAGTACACAATGACGGCCATCGTAAAATCTAATATAAAATGAATAGGAAGATCCTCGATCTAGTATAAAAGAATAATTGGCGATAAATTTCATCAAAATACCTCTAGCGGCGAATCTCCGAACCATATGCAAATTCTTAATTTTCGATTTGGATGGAGAAAACAAATATCCGCATATTTAACTAAAAGCCAAACATTCATACGTAGTTATACGCGTATATATCATATTATTGTAATAACCTACAAACCAATGGCATCAACAAGTATTAAGTAGTGTAATATTTGCATCTATATACGTTTTTCGGTTTTCCAATTAAATTACAGTTATGCGAACATTGAAAAATCATTCAAATATTTACAATGAAACTGTAAATATAATCAAAGAATACAAAATTATACACATAATAGACATAAAATATTTTTAATGAAATAAGTCAAAAATTGATTATTTTATTATCTTTTGTAATACATAATTTTTATATGAAAATTATTAAATGGTATAAAAAAAATATTTTTGAAGGTAATGAGTGACTCAATTGTTGTTAATATTTAAAATATTAATTAATAATATTTTTAAAAATTGATTATATATATATTTATATAAGTTATCTAATTTTTATTTAAAAATTCACAATTATACAAGAAAACAATAGAATAATGTATTTGTAATTTAAATACTGATTTTATGTAAATTTTTTAAAAACACATTTTCATATAAATAACTATAATTATTGTTAAATTATTTTGGTTAAAATAAAAATATGTATATAATTAAATTATAATACATACAAATTATATATGAGTAATGATCTAATGTTAAATATTTGATTGCATATAGTTTGGACTACATTAAAAAATTATGGTTAAAAACTTATTTATAAAATCTATCTGAAGTTTTAAATATTATTATAGATATTATCATTTGTAGATATAAATTTTCTGTATTTTTGTTTACCTATGTTTATTATGTAAGGTCAACTTTTTAACAGAAATTTCTTGATTTATTTTTATATATATTTATTAAATCAAATGTTTTATTTACCTAAAAAATTTTTAAATATTTGAAAATATATAAAATTATATATTCTTTCTATATCTTGTATGTGTTTAAATGTATAAAATAAATATATAATTAATAAAAAATAGAATAATTGAAAATAAATATTTATAATTAATATTATTTAATATTAATTTTAAGTAATAAAAAGGTAATACGTTTTTAAAATTTCAATAATATATATTGCAATCATTTTTTGAGTTTGAATAGTTAGTAGTAGTAGTCACTTTTAACAAAAGAGTAAGAACTTTCAAAGTTTATTGTAAATATATTGTTAACGTGATCTCAAATAAATATATTCAATGAACATATTGGTTATTATATTACAGTTTTAACATACATTTATGCAATAAATCCATACTAAAAATATTCTTTTATGATTTAATTGAAGATATTTTAATATGTTAAGTGTGTGTATAATTAATTTGATTAATTTGTTAATTTTGACAAAATTAGATTAATTATTGAATTTATTAATTATATAATTCCATCAGTATTTTTAATATTATAACCGAGAGTGATAAATATTCAATACTGTATAAGAAAGTGTTTAAATTTTTTTTAAATACTCAAATAATGAATTTATATTGTATGATTGTTTAAAATCTAGTAATGTAAAAGTTATGTTTGTTTTTGCTGAAGTTTATTAAAAGTTTGTTAAAATTTATAATTAAAACTAAAAAATATATATGTTATGATAGTTATAATAGTTGCCACAGCTACATAATAAAAGTTATCAATAATTATCAGCTTTATATCTTACTACAATTATATATATATATATATATATATATATATATATATATATATATATATATATGTATGTATTTATATCTAATCATAATTATTTATGAATGTTAACAATTTTTAAATTATACATTTTTTATTTTAGCAGAATTTCAGTTTATATTTGGAAAAATAATGTTGCTTCTAAATTGAATATTTTTATTTCGATAATTAAAATAAAAGAGACAAAACTTATATTTTAATACTAGAATTGTCTATAATGAATGACTTCAAATATATAAGAATAAGAGAAAAGAATTATTTTATGTTTAATATTATTTTGCTTGTGTGTATATTTTTCTCCAACTTCGTACGTAATTCCAGAATAAGCATAAGGTTTAAGGTTTTGGCCGCTAGGGGCGCTAGTTCATAAATAGGAAAATTGGTCCCGGGTCGGACCCCGCCATGCTCATCGACGATCTCCCTATTCATTGTCTGGCGAAAGCCAGGAGGAGAGGAGTGCGTGGCAGCTGAGTTTTCTTCTCTCTGTATCATAAGGAACAGCAGCAGCAGCAGCCATGTCGCTCATCGGATTGGTCAACAAATCCGAGTTTATCGTCGGCAGCAAGTACAGAATAATGAGAAAAATTGGTTCAGGATCTTTTGGCGACATTTACCTCGGTATCAATATAACCAATGGCGAGGTAAGTGAAAGAGCAGTGATATCAGCCATACAAATACATGCACCTTTCTTTTTCCCGTTGATAGTTGTGTGTGTGCGTGCACGCACACACGATCACTTTTGCACCTGTATGCGTATGCCTATAGATATGCATGTGTACAGAATAAGGCTTTTTGGATTTCTCTTTTTTCAATTC